AGGTGTTGATGCAGATGTTGGTTGAAAGAAAGGTCTTAGGTCTGGAACACGCAATACTACCTACACATAATAGTATACTGGCATGGAGGTAAAAAATACCTATACCCATCGTGAATGTGGTTTCCTAAAACATAAGTTAGCGCGAAAAGAATTTTGCAGGGTGCGTTGAAGGCTGAGGAGGCCAGGGTGATAGTCAGTAACAAAAACTGTGGGGCAAGAGGCAGAAGCTTGCACAGAGCTAGCTGGAGGTATGAGTTGACAGCTAGCTGGGGTATCACTGAACGCATCGTGGAGAAACCTAGGAGGGTAACCACGCTTGCGAAGCCTGGTCCAGAAAGCATCACGTATAGCGAGCAGGGAGGTGATCTCACTGTTTGTGTGGTTATAGCGCAGCAATTCAGCTTTAATAAAGGCTCTGAAACATGAGCGGGGGTGGTCGGACGTAAATGGGATGTACAAATAAGCGTTCCTGGGCTTTTGGAAAGTACTGAATGTGAATGTGGATTTATCATTAATAGAGATGATCAAATCAAGAAACTCAATACTTTTACTGGGGTCTGACCACGTAAGTCTGATGGCGTCAAGTTTTGCGTACATGTGCCGTTTGACGGCAGGCAGATTGCTCAGTCTTTTGATGATTAAGAGAAGATCATCAACGTATCGACCGAAGAACTTTATGGTGTTACGGAAGACTGAGAGTGATGTACGCTCATGGACGAAGAGGAAAATATTTGCAACATTAACCGCCATGGGTGTACCCATGGCCATGCCATTCTCTTGGTGATACACCAAACCATCATGCTCGAAAAAATTATTTCTTAGCACAAAAGAAGAAAGATCAATGAGCAAGTCTTTCATGGGGTGATTATTTTCGTCGAGGAACACGTGCAAGGCATTGGTCGTATCTTTCCACGACATGCATGTGTAAAGACTTTCGACGTCTGCAGTCAAAAGGGAGCAGTCACTCAAGTCATCGTTCGACGGAGTGATCAAACTCTTTACAACATCGTTAGTAGAAGTAAACACAGTGTTTGCTGATTTCATGAGACTCTTTATATGGTAGTCGACATAGCGAGAGGCTGGGGTTGTGCAGTAGCCCTGACACGACACAATGGGCCTGCCTTTAACTCCACAGGGCCCAAGGGGTTTGTGGATTTTGGGAATGAGCCGAAACTTGGCTGGCTTGAAAGGGAAATTCGCAAGTAGGGCTTCTGCGTCTCGCCTAGTGACATTATGGCTGGAAATGATCCTGGTTAGCTCCGTTTCGATGGCCTCGAGTTCTGGATTGAGGGCAGTGTCCCGGCCAACGGGGCAAACAATGCGGTAGGTTGAGGTGTCCGCGAGCTGTCGGGCGGCTTCGGCGGAAAATTCATCGGAGTTCAGGATAGCTGTACCCAGATTTTTGTCTGCGTCACGGACAATGATACGTGGATCCTGTCGCAGTGACAGAACAATATCCTGCTGGGCTCTGGTGGTGTTTCGACGTCGTGGCTTGCAGGCGTCGCGCAAGGCGGTCGCCTCCGACCGGAGCTCAAATAGTTTCAGTTCGGTACCAGGGAATGCAGGTGGCGGCAACCGTTTGCTGGCAATGTGGAATTTCTTTATGGATCCTTTTTGTTGAGGGGGACCGTGTGGACCTTCCTCGATAGCTTCCTTCCAGCGTACACGTCGCTCAAAACGCGCTAAATCAGTCGAGAAATTGTTGTGGTTGGCGATTGAGGATGTGACTCGGAAGCGTGATACCAAGCCAAGCAGGTAGCGTTGTACATCAGAGAACTCAAAACGGCTGAGGTTGTGAACACCAAAGTTGGTGACAAGGCGCTCATGCGTGGACAAACGCAAATGGAATATCCACCGCAGTCGCAGGTCTTCTACTGTAAATATACAAATTTTCGGCAGCTATTTAATTTCGGCTATATTCGGCACCGACCCAAAACGCCTAAATTAAAACGCCGATGAAATTTTTCACAGCATCTGTCGCACTATACCGTGCCCTCTACCCCACGCCGAAAATAAATCGCCGCCGAAATGTCAAAATCGTGAAGTGCCGAAATTTTGCAGCGCCGAAATTTTGTATATTTACAGTATTGTCTTCGAGCCTGCTGGCGGGCAGGTGCCGCGTTTCCAGGTATCACTGCGGAGCATGAGCGCCCCCTCACGTTTTTTGGCTGCGCACGTCCATCTTTCACGACGTCGCTGTAGCGACGCACATTGGACGATGGCCGTGGATGTTGTTGCTGCCGTTGTTCTCGTTGTTGTCGTTGCTGCTGCTGCTGTCGTTGCCGCTGTTGTCGTTGTTGCTGCTGCTGTTGTTGCTGCTGCTGCCACTGCCGCTGCTGCCGTTGCTGCTGCTGCCGTTGAGGCTGCTGCCGCTGCGGCTGCTGTCGTTGTTGTCTCGTCTGTCCCTGTTGTTGCCATTCATGTACTTGCCGTATGGGGCGGGGTGGTTGGCCAGAAGACTTGGAAGACGTTTTGGATTTGTTTCGGCTAGCTTGCCATTGTAGAGGCGGTTTTTGAAGTGCCAACTGGGCAGACACTTCTCTCTGGATTAAGTGTCCAATTTCCTCAGTAGAGGGAGGAACAGTGGTAGCTTGCGTAATCGTAGTTTGGGAATTCTGCTTCTTACGCGATGTGATAAGATCCGTTTTTAGCTTTTTGGCAATTTCAGAGGCTTCGGCTATTGGCTATTGTATACTGGGATACTAAAATAGCTATTTCGGACCAGTATTTCAGGCCAAAAACGAAGCTAGGTATAAATAGAATAAACACCTCTGTCTTGTGTTTATGGGAATATAAACACTGTCTATAAAAACCTCGGCTACGCCTCGGTTTTTATAGCAGTATTTATATTCCCATAAACACTACGACATCGGTGTTTATTCTATACTTATTATTGAAGTTGTGACGCTGAATATGCATATACCGGTACATGTAACTGTTGCCATGTTTGTGAAGCGCCCATTGCAGTCACACTCAGTCTCACCTCCACTGAGGAGCTGTGCAAGGGTGCAAGGCCAGACTAGTTGCCCAGGGGAATTCAATAGTCCCGTGAGAGTCCTGAAGTTTCACCAAGTCCTGAAAGCCTGTCCGGAGTGAGCACGTTTCCTGTTGCTCAACTCACAGTTTGGATTAGGCATATGCGGATAACGCCGGCAGAAAAATTGGCAGAATTCGGTGCTGTTTCTCGTACATGTACGTTTCATGCATGTTTGGTATGTGGATAAAGAAATGGAGCAGAATTCGAGGAATTGCCCGCCATAAGGTTTGTATGGTTCTGCCAATTTCACTGCTTTTCGAGCAGAATCTGTCACCTTCTCGAGCATTATCCGCACACCCCCAGTTTGGATGCTTTCCGATTCTGTCTACTTTATCTAAAGTAGGTTAGCCGGGGAAACGGCAAGAGGGCACCGCTCCTTGAAGGAAATATCTCCGTGATGCTATTCCATGCGCACATGCAGTGGCAACTAAACCGAGTGTCACAGGAAATACCAAACACATCTGACTACATGGGCCCCGGTAATGTACCAATTACTTGTTTAGCTGCACCAAGAGGAAAGCGACCCTTGAAGGAAACTCCCATCACGCATTCGCTGAGTGCTCACACAGGCATCATTTGCACAGGCCGATCAGACGCAAACATACAATCATGTACGTCTTGCAAGTGTCCTGCAAGCAGTTCCTACAGGAGCAATCCTAACTAATGAAAAGTAGGCTTTCATAGGTAATTACTAATGGATACAAATTGACGGAAGTACTAGTGATACATGGTATTGCATACTTAGACGTACTAGTACTTCAGTATGGATACATGGCCAGGTGTTGAAGCACACACACACACACACACACACACACACACACACACACACACACACACACACACACACACACACACACACACACACACACACACACACACACACACACACACACACACACACACACACACACACACACACACACACACACACACACACACACACACACACACACACACACACACACACACACACACACACACACACACACACACACACACACACACACACACACACACACACACACACACACACACACACACACACACACACACACACACACACACACACACACACACACACACACACACACACACACACACACACACACACACACACACACACACACACACACACACACACACACACACACACACACACACACACACACACACACACACACACACACACACACACACACACACACACACACACACACACACACACACACACACACACACACACACACACACACACACACACACACACACACACACACACACACACACACACACACACACACACACACACACACACACACACACACACACACACACACACACACACACACACACACACACACACACACACACACACACACACACACACACACACACACACACACACACACACACACACACACACACACACACACACACACACACACACACACACACACACACACACACACACACACACACACACACACACACACACACACACACACACACACACACACACACACACACACACACACACACACACACACACACACACACACACACACACACACACACACACACACACACACACACACACACACACACACACACACACACACACACACACACACACACACACACACACACACACACACACACACACACACACACACACACACACACACACACACACACACACACACACACACACACACACACACACACACACACACACACACACACACACACACACACACACACACACACACACACACACACACACACACACACACACACACACACACACACACACACACACACACACACACACACACACACACACACACACACACACACACACACACACACACACACACACACACACACACACACACACACACACACACACACACACACACACACACACACACACACACACACACACACACATTCAGGCACTGGGTTAATTTAACAGGCTGGTTGGCATCATTGCTGAATGATTGTACATTGTATTCATTTCTGGATGGTATTGCATAATCATCATTATCATCATCATCATGGTGGTGGTGGACAACAGCTGAACAATGTAGCCAATGCATTGCACAATGTAGACAACTCTCACAGCCAAGGCCAGGGTTGTTCAAATAAGATGGAGAGGCAGATGTTGAAACACTACTATTTGAACACAGCGCGCTACGAAACTACAAAACACCAATACATTCGTCACTCACTAAAAAGTAAAAATGATCATGACTGTACTGGTCCAATGCCTGGCACTTCTCTATCAACTCCAGACAGCAGTGCAGTACAGGTAAACCTGGTAGACCTAGTAGGTAGATGTATGTACAGAATGAACAGCATTGCCGGTACTTGACCGTGCTGCACATGTGAGGTCGCGTACTTACAGCAACACGCCCGGAACGAAACGATCGATAAACACGCAGAGCAACAACACGTTCAGGTCAGCTTCCAGCAGGACCAACACTAACATTCGCCATTGCAGCCACATACAGCCCAGGAACTTTTCCCTCAGGCCATCCGTCTCTCGAATGCTACAAAGCTGCTGAAAGACGATTGCTCTGAAACAAAACCGTGGTTGACTTTTTATTCTTTACAACAGAGACAAAGTTTGAAAGCAGAACATGACAAGCAGGAGCTTACAAGACTCGCAAAATATGCCTTATTCCTTCAACAAAGCAGCTATCGCTGCTGGGACAAAAATGCACAAAATTACAATGATCGGCAAATAAACATGATTCTCGGGGGCTGGGGCAAATCGTCTCAGCACATGTACACGACGTGTCATTACTGTCAGTGAAGCCCCGTCACACCGTCACACTGTCACAGATCACCCTCTCACCTGTTCCGAGGTTCACAACGCACCATGATACACACAGAGCAGACAAAGAACACGCCGGCGAAACGCGGTGAGTGCGATCACGAGTCGGTATCAGCTGCCGAGCTGCGAGGTGTCATGCCGTTCCGCCAAGGTCGACAGCTGACGACAGCAGAACAAGGGTCGACAGGCGGACTGCATGCTGGCGCAACACTGTCGACCAATAATCTTACGCAGGGCGCGCAATACGCTACTGGCTAGCGGCCGCATCGCCCTGATCCGTACTACCGACGTTGTCGCACTGCAAGAGGCGCACTATGCTCGGATCCTTTTTCGCTCCCTGCACGAACTCTTCGAGCGACAAGCGGTCGTTGCAGTCGATATCCATCTCCCGGAAGATCTTCTCCATGCGCTTTTGCGGCGTCGATTCGTCGTCGGGCATCTTGACGCTTGGGCCGATCATTCCGTAGATGGCCTCCACCACCTCGAGCATTTCCTCCTTGGAGATTTCGCCGTCGCCGTCCAGGTCGTACATGCTGAACGCCCATTTCAGTTTCTGGTCCGGCGTACCACGTGACGTGATCGACAGGGCCAGAACGAACTCCTTGAAGTCGATCTTGCCGTTGCCGTCGCTGTCGAACGTTCGGAACACGTACTCGGCGAACTTGGAAGCGTCGCCGAACGGGAAGAAGTGCGAGTAGATGTTCTTGAACTCATCGGCGCTCAGCTGACCGGACGGGCAGTCTCGCCTGAACCCTTTGTACCACTCCTGTAATTCCTTCTTGGTGAACGAGGTCTGCTCAATCAGCTGCGCCTCCATGTCCGGGGGAATATTTTTCGAGTCGTTGTTGCCCATGGCTCACCTTGATGCCGCGATGTCACACCGAGCGTGTTCTTGTCAATTTCAGAGTACCCACACTGCACAAGAGTGATTTCCCTTGAACAGCGAGCTTGGAGCAGCTGTAGCGTGCGAGGAATCAACCGTCGCCTCAAATCGATTTCAGGCGAGGCGAGCGCCACAGAGCATTAGGCGAGGAACAGTAACTGTTCTTCCGAGCGCACGACAACAACTCCCTACTGAACAACCCAACTACAACTATTGATCGACAGCGGACTCGACAGGATGCGAGGTCGTACTCAAGTCTAACCGGTCGTGTACTGGTGCAGTGGTGTAGTGGTAAACCTACTGCATGCTGGGTGCTAAATACTGCCTACACCTCTACTACTACTACTAGAACTCTCTTCTTCCCTTGACCTTGTGCAGCGCGCGCTGTGCTCCGCTTTGGCATTGCTTCCGGG